TCTTCTCCATGAGCTCGACCGGTCCTATCTTCCGAGCGGACAATTTATTATACTCATGGGCCGAAAACCGATCCTTTGTCAAGACTGCCCAAACATAGTCACCCACCTAAAATTCCACGTGGCGACGACAAGCATCCACTTGACGCTTATATACGACAGTCGCCACCTCTAAGTTTGCCTGAGCCGCGACATGGTTTGCTGCAAATCGACCATAAAATCCTCAACACGCCGATCACGCGGCTCCGTCAACGGCGAAACCAACAAATCCACCGGTCCACAGAGTTTCACCGCATAGACCAACTAAAAAGGAGAAAAAACGCGTGGCCCGACCCGTAGTCGAATTATTGGCGAACTCGGCTTGACTGAGCTGCTGAACCAACTCCTCGGGTTCTCACCCACCAAACAACGTAGCAAATTCCCAAGCGAAGATTAACGACCTCACCATCCGGCTGTGGGCGATAGGCACTGTTAAAATCCAAACGCGTATTAGCCTGCCGCCACAAACTACACCAAAAAAAGGCTAAGGAACCGAGTATCACAGTCAGACACAATAGAGGACGGGAGCCCATGCAAGCGATACACCTCGCGAAAGGTCGTGCGCTTGCACGGAATAAAGGGACCACTTTGTAAAAATGGTCAACCACCACACAAATGGAGTCGTGCCCGCGCTGCGTGCTCGGCAAGCTAAGCACATAATTTATGTTGATCGCACACTAAGGTTGCGACAGAATAAGTAAAAGGCGATAAAGACCGACATTAGACGCAACACCCTTAGACACCTGGCAGACTCGGCAGCGTGTCACATCGCACCACAAAGGCGGCAAAAAGGAGTGCAGGACCAACTCTATCAACCTATCTTGACACACGTGACCCACGCCATAAAGGTCGGAAACCAACTTCTGTCAGAGATAGAAATCTGGCAGACAAAGTCGCACGCCACGAAAAACAAACCCATCGAACAACATGTAATCCTCGAAAGGACCTTACGCAAGGCGCACCAAGATCGATCCGAAAAAGGCATCGGTGGCGTAAACCTCCCAAAGAAAATAAAAACCTGCATATCAATCAACACCAAGGGATATGAACTCAAAGCATCAACCACGCAGTTAGATGCGCGATGCTTCAAGACAAACATAAACTGCTGCAGAAAAGTCATCCATGAAGCATGGCGTGTCGAAATATTGTCCTACGATGTGAGGTGCCGCAACACCTCATGATCCGTGTGCAGAACAAACTCCCGGTACAACACGCAATGGCGCCAATAACGTACAACACAAACCACCGCATAAAACTCGACATCATACGTGCTATACCGCAAGTGGGGGCCCGAAAATTTCTCGCTGAAAAACGAGACAGAACGCCATCCTGGCTCAAGACAACTCCAATCCCAACCTTCAAGGCGTCGCAAGAGAGTTCGGACGGGCATGAAAAATCGGGCAAGACCACGACGGGGGTGAATGTCAACTTGCTCTTAATGAGAGCAAAATCATCCACGGCATGTGGAGTCCAAACAAATGGATTACATATAAGACAATCCGTGATAGGCGTTGTCATCGAATAGAAATGCGAAATAAAGCACCGATAAAAGGACGTGAGACCATGGATGTTACGCGCCTCTGTAAATGAGGTGAGCGTCGACCACTCCCGAATTGCCGCCACCTTGCTGTCTCCACACGAATCCCATTGGACGAAACAATAAAACCCAAGAAGAGGGCGAAGACTACCAAGAAGAAACACTTATTCAGCGCCACAAAAAGGGACTCGACGCGAAGGATGAGAAGGACAGAACGAACATGTAACAAGTGCTCCACCGAAGTGCGGCTGTAGATAGTATATGATCGAAATAAATAATGAAACACATACCAATGAGGCCACAAAGCACCTAGTTCACCACACGCATAAAAGTACTAAGCGCATTTAACAACCCAAAAGGCATCACCATCCACTTAACAGACCCTCACGGATTTTGAAGGTCGTCTACCACTCATTACCCCACCTAATAAGAATCTGATGATTGACGCTACGAAGATCTAACTTCGTGAAGACAATAGCACCATGTAGTTGATCCAAATGAGGAATAGAAAATCAGTAGCGGATTGTGATCATGTTGATAACCCGACTAGCTACGTACATACGCCAAGAATTGTCCGTCGGTATAAGTAATGTCGTAACCATGCATGAGCACGCACCACACCACGCTATAAAAACTCCTCCACCTGCCGACGTAACTCCTCATGATCGAACTGACTCATCCGTTACTATAGTATATTAGGAAGAGAGGCAACATGCACTAAGTCAATCTGATGTTGTATGTCGCGAAGAGCGGGCAAACCCGATGAAAGATCCGCCCACAAAACATCCACGAACTCCTCAAGTAACGGCCAGATAGCCGTCGGGGGCAACTGCTCGGACGCCGAGTCGGACCCCAAAATAGAAGAATAAAAGGAGCCTCACGCGTCTCATCAACAAAAGTCGCACGGGAAAGGAACAAAACCGGAAAGGGTGTCGGTGCGGACAAAGAACAAGGTGGAGCTAGATACAGAACTATCTTAATAACCTCAAATACAAAGCTGTAGGTGTTAAAACGGCCGTCACACGCAACCGATCAATCGCCACGGACGACCCAATAGAAGGTGACAAGCACCCATAGGTATGACATCACACCAAGTTGTGTCCCTATACGTGGTCCCAATGAAAAGAATACACCAAAATGCAAGGCCGAGTATACAAGGCTGGATCTAAACGAGAATGTAAGGCCGAGTATGCCAACCAACAATAAGATATGTCAGCCAACAACCGCATGCTAAAATATCACTCGTTTAATCACGTATCCCAATTATATAATATATTAATCTCCAATAATATCAAGTGAGGGCATATTAACCCTTGTCTACCATGGATAAGAGAGCGGGGTTGTACTTTGGTTAGAGCTACCCAACAAATTGACCCTTGGTATATTATCACATGCCCTTTATATGGGCATCATCACATTTGTGAGAACTATAATGCCTCTCCCATACAGAGAATATACTTCTTGAAATGGTATAATTTGTCAAAAAGACAATCCGTGATGTAAGCCACATGATAGGTCTAATATCTTTTATTCAGTTATCAAATCATTTATGTGAAAAGAAATAAAGTTTCTCTATTTGCACCAGAATATGAAGCTAAATGAGCTAAGTTTCTCTATTTGCACCAGAATATGAAGCTAAATGAGCTATGCGGCTATGCCAAATGAATATGGAGGGATCTCTATTTATAAGTTATCGTAACCGCACAAAAGAGCAAGAGAAAAAGCTCAGGCGGTCGAGAAAGAGTCACATAATGATCTGTATGCATCAGCACAATGCTTGAATTTCTTTTCGGCATCTTCCTGTAAAATCAAAATCTATGAGTCAAGTGTAAAAGTTGTAATCACATCCATTCAATCCATATTAAAACAAACAAGGCTGAATAATATTCAAGTACAATACGAAAAACACAACTCAAATCGAGACTATTGAAAGTTGAAACATATAAAAGAAAAGAAAAAGGAATATAGTCTAATATTTGCCACATAAAAAGCTGAAAAGAGCTTACCTTTGACAAACCTTGATGCTTATCAGGATGCCACTTCAAAGCTGACGCTCGAAACCTGCACCATGAAACAACCATCATATAAGCTTTTTTTTTAAAACGATATTTAGCTATTCACATTAGGACAATGACCTTCTAATGCCATAAAAAATACTCACGCAGCCTTAACATCTTCGATTTTCAGAGGACCAGCTGTCGGTAAACCAAGAACTTTTCTATCATCATATGATCCTATAGTAAAGGAATTATCACAATATCCTTTCCTACTTTCACTGCCCTTTTGGTCAAATCTATTGTTCCTCCACTCAAAATTTTCTGTCCAGTCAAACGGTAGTCCAGTGGGCCTGAAAGTCCATGAAAAGCCATGTTTCCCAAATGCAGCATGGAACATTCTATCTGGGTTTTCGTCAAAATCTTCGTACGAATACTCTCTCTCACGTTTACCTGAAGTTTTAGCCAAAAAAGGGAATATAGTCGCATAAAAGAAAATGCATCTGAAGATACAAAAGTCACCATCACAGAATGAAAATTTGAATTTTGGAATTTAAGATGGATGACGATAACAACGATGTAGCGGGCAATGGTGAAGACAATGATATTAATAGACTTGTAAATATTAGCTAAACTAACACAAAAATGGTGTGGTCTATGGTGCTTTAGGATGCAACATGTCATTAATTTATATTTAGTAGGGGTTGCTTGGATATTTTGGTTTTCATTGGTTTTTTTGGTTAACCAGAGTTAATTTAAAAAAATGGTTGAGTTAAATTTGAGTGGAATTTTGAGTTTTTTTAAAATAATATTTAAAATAGAATGAATAAATAAAATTTGATGTACAAGTATGAGAAATATGATTGGAAGTGATGGTTAGTTAATATTATGTGAGTAGATGAATAGTGAATTAAAGTTAATGTAATCTGTGTGGGGATGATTGATTGATATTATTTAATTATATTAATAATACTGAGTAAAGTTGGGTTGGGTTAAGTTTGAATTAGATTTTGAGTTAAAAAAAAGTGATTGGTTTTTTATTGGAATATCTGTTTTTTATTGGAATATTTGGTTTTTTAGACATGTCGTAATTTTAAAATTGTGATATCCCTTGAAGGTTTATTCTAACTATCACTAAAGTTGCTTTTTGAAAAATTACAATAACTCTGGAGAATCTTCAATGCTTGAGTCTAATTTATAAAATGTCTAGTGCCACATAACTTTGAACTTTTGTGTAACAGATCTTCTTCAATGGACCAATGCAAACAAAATAAGACTAAGTCTATATGATATGGCATGTAAAGAAAGAGATTAAGTTTCCACTTTGGACAGTTTTGAGACCTAGCTCTACCCCCAATGTACCTCCATAAAATTACTATTTTAATAAAATCTGTCATATATTTGTTGATACATCATTTTAGACCCAACTTCAAATATTGTATTGGAGTAAGTATGATCTTTTTTTTTTTTTTTGCTTCTCCATATCATTCAAGACTCATGTCTATTACTATGACACCTAATCAAAATTGGACCAAAACATTGAGGATGATCTTAAGGCATTGCAAGTATTCCCTTGGAATTTGTATTTACTTTATATATACCCCTTTGATAGGTGCAACTTTTCTGTTTGGCACAAATGTGAAAGCCACTCAGCAAGCTAAATGATCAACTCGAGGTTGTTTGTCTGAAACAATAAATAAAATAATAATACACTTGCAAACCTTTTGTTGATTATATTGTTACTAGCGTGTAGCCCGTGCGAATGTACGCGAAGCAATATTCATTGGTTATTGTTATGTTAGATAATGAGGTGAGATATAAGTTAACAACATAACACATATACGATTATAATAATACACAACCATATGGTTGATACATATTTGGAAATATGCTATGTAGAATATCGTCCTATGTGAACTCTTGAAAATAAAGAAAAAGATCAATTTGATTTGATTTGAAATTCATAGTCCTGTCAAAATTTCGTACGTAATGGGTGTATACCAAGAGCCTTATTATTTTAAAATTGTAAAGTCTTCGTGCAAGAAATCTTCATTGTTGGCGGACCAACAATATCGTATCTGATTCAACAAATTACCTAATTAAGAAGAGAAAAATTATGTACGTGTTATGCAATCAATTTAACAATTGCATTTTGGAGTATTAAACAAAACTCAAATTTTTGGAATGTTCAAGCCAAATTTTCATTTTTAATTTCAAATTAACATTAATATCAAATTCAAATGGTTTCAAAATAAATTTGAGATGGAATTGTATTATGGAAGATTAAACAAAATCCAACTTTTGGGATTGTATTATGGAGGATTAATTTGATATGGGATCAAATTTGAAATTTAAAATAAAAATATTTTGACATTTTTAACTTGTGGAAAGAGATGAATTTTATTAGATTTCATATTCTTGCTGTAAATTTGATGATATGTATTATGGAGAATTAAACAAAATTCAACTTTTGGGATTGTATTATGGAGGAATAATTTGATATGTGATCAAATTTGAAATTTGAAATAAAATATTTTGAAATTTTTAACTGGTGGAAAGAGATGAATTTTATTTGATTCAAATTCCTAATATATATAAATTTACTTAAATTATATCCACAAAACCCATAAATTTAAGGTGCATATATAACTGATCGATTTTTTGGGAATAATTTAAAAAAAAATTAAAAAACTATCAAAATATAATGCAATAAATGTTGGTTGACTTTTCTAGTTACTATTTTTAGCAAATAGGTTGTCTCTTTATATATGTATAGATAGATATAGATTTGTGACTATAAATATGAAGAATTTAAGAAATTACAACGCCATAAAAGCTTTATTTTCAGTTTCCTTCTGGGATAATATTTAACATTTGCATTTATTGAAAATGTGGCAGGCATTACATTAGCTTATAGATCAATAATTGATCATGTTTGTATTACACATTGAAATATAATTATCAAACAGTATCATCTCCCAAAATTTAGACACTCTGGATTTGGAAATTATAAATACAGTGGAATTGGTTACTCTTAAGCTTGTATGTATGTAAATGATTAATTGAAATATGAAATCTTATATGAAAGTTTGTCAGCTAAAAGATTATCGTGCTCATGTACATACACACGATAATCTTCAAGTTTGTCAACTAACTATACAATTTTCAATTTTTTAAAAGAAAAACTTCTATGTTATTTTTTTAAAAAAATAAATAAATATATATGTACATATATATATATATATATATATATATATATATATACATGCAGATAACGTTTGAAACCAAACAGGGGCTGTACTAGTCTTCTCACTCTAACTTATCTTTATTCAATAAATTGGTGAAACTTCGGGTAGTTGGTAGACTCAATCAGATACAAAATGAAAAGCAGAAATTAAAATATGAACTTAAACGAATCTGTAAAGAGATTTTTGTCCACTGGAATTCAAGCAGAAAGTCAGGAATAGAAGCTTACGTCTCGATTTCTTGTGTTGACTTCTTTTATCTTGACGAGGCTTTGCTCGGGGTTTCTTGTTTAATTGTTCCTCATAGTCTACTTCTATTTTCGGGAATGACTGAGAATATAAAGAGCGGATTAGCATCTATCAAATTTCCCCAAAACTCTTAGTATCAGATGTGAAGATAAAACATATATACAACAAATAAAAAAATAAAAATAAAAATAAAAAGAAAGAAAGAAAAGTTGGTATAGAGGCTAAGTTTCAAAAGCAGCAAGTTGATATGGCTGTTTGTATATGAATAATGCTACTTGTACCCCTTGGTGTACCACTTGGTTTACATCCAAGTAGTACATGTACCCATTTACCCTTAATGAATAATTTAGTAAATTATTCATTAAGGGTAAATGGGTACATGTACCCCTTTGATGTAAACCAAGTGGTACACCAAAAGGTACATGTAGCACGATCCGTTTGTATATATTATAAAAACTAATGCTATTAATTTGCTACATGAGGTCATCCATATATGCAAGATTGAAAAACGCTGACCTCGGCTCTTGACGTTGAGCAACCCCCTTTGAAGAGTATATTTTTAAGCGCTTTTTTTGTGCCAGCTCGCTTCTGCCGCACCTCATATCTTATGTAGTTCTGAATAAATAACCCATCTCGAAGTCAAAAAAGTTCCGAAAGGTTTTAGCAATGCAACAAACTTCCTCATAAGTAGCCAAAGTACTCATAATTGAATAGTTTCATAGACAAAAATAGAATTTTTAAGCAAGAAAAAAAGAATCATTATCAGTAACAATTTGAGGTCGGCATCAGTTGCAGTCTGTGAACAGCAGTACATGAAAGAGTTATGTCCATAATAGAGGTAAAAGAACCTATTCCACTTATAAAATAGACTTATTTGACTTAACTGGGAATACAAAATGGAAGCTAAAACAGTTTGAAGTCAGAAGTATATATAGTGCTATTGTCCTGAAAATCACTGACAACAACAACAACAACATAGCCTTTTAGTCCCAAACAAGTTGGGGTAGGCTAGAGATGAAACCCAAGAGAACTAATGAAAGTAAAAGTTATGCCCATAATAGAAGTAAAAGAACCATATTCCACTTAAATAACAAAGTTACTAGAACTAATTAGGAATACAAAATGGAAGCTGAAACAGCTTGAGGATGGATTCTTGGGGATGAGTTCTACCTTGACCCATTTAACATTTAATAACTACCAACTTGACAATAATTCAAGCATTATTCAAATAAGTAGGAAATAACCAAAACTAAAAATGTTAATTGTAAGAATTTTACCTTCGACTGTTGTTTTTCTCTCTTTGCATCCTGCAGCATATTTCAATCTTTAAATTTCTATATTTCAAAACAAGCAGATATGAAAGAATAAAAGCATCAACCATCAAAGAACTATGATGGAAAAGAAGAAAGCCAAAATTGTCAGAATAAGGTTCTAAAGGCCGATAAATTTGCAATTCTAACAAAGAAAACAAACAAAAAAACATAACCTTATATTAGCCATATATTTTTCAGGGCTCAGATAGGGTGCAACTGCTTATTAATTCTTTTCACCATTTCTCTCTCCCAAATAATAGTGGTCAAGAGATCGTTCAGAAGTGAAATAGATAAAATAATAAGAGAGATTGCATTCGAAGTAAAAGAGTAATAACTAATACTGATGTGATATATTTTTTTCACCAGTGATCACTGTTTGTACTTTGTATGATTTTTAGAATTTCCGAAAATTCATATGCTTCTCATATTTACTATTTTTTTTGTATATTTTGCATTTTTTACGATTATTTTAAAATACCAAAGACAATGACAGTTATATCAACCTTCAGCATTTATCTTTCAATGGAAGCATAAAAGTTTTAGTTTAAATGTTAAAGTTCCTTTTCAGTTGAAAAAAATATCAATAACTTGACACCACAAAGCCATACCAATCTTGGATAACCATAGACATTAAAATAAACATGTAAATTCATGAAAGTAACTAATATGTAAATCCATGATTGTCATAAAGAAAATAATAAATAAATAATATCCGACTTGTGTTTGTCCCATTTTTGTTGCGTTTTTCGTTATATTTTTACCTTTCTTTTTCCCCCATTTTGAGTCGTTTAGATGAGTTTTAGTTTATTTTATGATTTATTTTGTGTTTTGCTTTATTTCGGTTTTTCTGGTATTTTCTCGGTCGTTTTCCGGTTGTGTGTCGTTTTTGGTGTTCAGGTTTTAGAAGTCGAGAAGATTCGTTTTCCATGATCAATGGACCGGGCATATATGGATAAAGAGAGCATTTCGATAGGAGTACACGGGAGAAAACGAAGCCAAATTCGGAGGTCGAACGAGTACGAACGGATAATACGCGAAATGCACTTAAACCCGAGGTTCCAGCCATCGCGCCGTGCAGCCGCCACGTCTTGGACAGACGACCAGAATCCCAGCCCCGCGCCGCGGCACACGAAACGCCGCGGCGCCTGCCACTTCATCTCTCAAAACGTAGCTCGCGCGACCCCCGCACCGCGAAGGAGGAACCTGCCGCGACCTTGCTGCTGCCCCGCGCCGTGAGAAGAAACTGCCATCGCGTCGTGAAAGGAGAATCCGCCGCGCCGCAACTATGCCACGTGATGGACAGAGGATGATGACCCCAGCGTCACGCCGTGCTCCTGCTTCGCGCCGCGAAGCCCATCCCTGCCGCACCGTGTGATGATGTCACGCCGTGAAGAAGGCCTCCCACCGCGACGCGACGCTACCACAAGTTCGACAGAAAACCAGAGGTCCCACCACCGTGCCGCGCCTGCCTTCACGCCGCGACGCCACCCTCCTGCCACGTCGAGAATGTGTGCCGCGCCGCGCCCAAGTCCCTCGCCACGCCGTGCTGAAATCTTTTCATGCCGCGAGCCTGCTAATATAAATAGGAAAACGGGGAACTCATCGAGGATTTTCTCTTACGCACAGAAAACATGAACCCTACTCTCTCATTCTTTTCTTTCGTTTTTTCACTTCTCTTCAATAATTTTCGACGTAGAACACATATTTAACGTCGGATTTTGCTACTGCTTTCGGGATTAATCTTGTTCATCGGATTAAAGCTTTAATTTCTATTTAATCGTAAGACTTTCTATTCCTTTAACACATGAATATGTTTGTCTTGATTTGTGAGATTGCTTGCATTAATTCAATCATGTGTAGCTAAATCTCTATGCTAGGGATAAGGGATTAATGTTTTGACTTCGATTGTGATTGCGGGATTCGATGATTGTTCGTCTTGTGCAAATTGTTCTTAATTAGGGTTTCTCAATAATCGTACTTGAGTTTTGAGAATTGTTGAAGAATGACACTTCAGCTTCCAATTAATTCAATTGAATTCAATTAATTCGTGTTTGATATTAGTGAATCTATTTGATTGGTTAACCACCGTCTAGTCTTATTCTTATCGACTCTTAGAACCGAAAGGGGAGGAGTTGGTCGAAATAGGTTTGCATAAGCTAGGCTTGTTCGTAACTGTATTTGCCTAGGAGTTAAAGGACTTGGTAAATCGTCGTTCTAGTTTGTTCTCTTGTTACGAAGAGTTATTGAGGGTGAGTACTAGAACGTGCAATTTATTCAAATCACTTAACTGAACAATCACCGACCCATTAATTGCTATTCGAATCAAAACGGATATCCTCGATTCCCTAGCTTCTTAAATTTTACTTGTTCTACGTGTTCGCTTGCTCTCTTTATTGCTTTATTTAAATCTTGCAGTAGTTGATAATTTAAAAACCAACCAAACTTTGATTTAGAATGTTTAGGATTTTTATCTCTTTTATTTTCCCGTTTTGCGTTTGAATAGTCGTACAAAATAATCCAGCTAACCTTCCTCGAGAAACTCGACTCGGTGTTGAATCTTTGGATTCTACTCCGGAAAAATATTTACAACAACTTGCTACATACATTAAGCTTTAGCTGTAATATTAAAGCTCCAAACGCATAATGCAACGTACAAATGCAGAGAAGCCCGACTTAGATAATTCTTTCTACAAAAAGCACAAAAAATATCACGACACCTTTCATAGTTGTAATCTCCCTCATATCTCAATGTTCAAAAAATGTGTCTTTTCTTGAGTTCATTTTCATTTTCTGAGATGTGCAATATTAATGGGGTTTCAAAATTTTGAAGAAATCCATGGAAAACTAATCTAGGCAATCATAGCAAGTATGGAAAACTCATCTAGGCAATCATAGCAAGTCTTTAGAACTAGATAAAGAACACAAAATAATAAGAAAAACTGACAAAAAATAGAATTCTAAAAGAACACAATATGTGTATACACACTTAACATTCCTCAGCCAACTAGACACTAAAGTCATGTAAAAGGATCTCACAGCTACATGGCACCAGATTCACGCTAAAAACCTAAAGAGCTACTAAAACAAATATTTGGTCCTAATTAATGCAGCACTTGTCTAATTTGTTTGTTTATTCACATTGAACTGAAAATAACATCTACTGAGTTCAATAACGTTCAAGTGGTGGGTCAACCAACAACAAAGTTCAAACCGTCTTGGGATAATTTCTCGCAGATGTTTTGAAACACAAAATATCCTTTCACTAAATCACATGCTTGTTCGCCACGCAAGTTTCGTTCACGGTTAACACCATTTTTTCCTCTAGATCTTATGGAACCAGTCATAATCAAGTAACTACTTCGCCATACAATCAAGTTTCCGCTTTCGCTGCCAGTCGGTTAAAATAGGTTTCTTACGAAAATTTCAGCTGTATACAAGCTACAACCTTTATTTATTTTTATGACAATGCTTATATAACATGAAGAAATAATAGTTGTCCTTACAGTAAGTAAATAAAAATTCTCACACAGAGGCACCAATAGGCTGCGACCACAACACTGCTTCCCAAGAAAAGGCATTCTCTACCACTTAGACTAAGCCAATTCTCTACAAGCTACAACCTTAACACCAGGGCTCAATTCAATTTATATATATATATACACACTGTATATCTTCCAAGTAACCCGCAAGAAAACCAATTTGTTCGAGATTTACACAACCCAGAATTTTCTGACATGGGTAAGCTAAAGTCCACTAATCAGGAAGAAAAACTGAAAAATGATTGAAAATAGCAAATTCAAGACAAGCAAACGCCCATATAATGAGAAAGAAACAAAGAAAGTAAAAAAAAAAAACGAAAGCTAAGAAGAATCTTACAGCATCAAACTTATTTCTCCATTTCTCAAAAAAAGTAGTCGTCGAGTGCAATGAGGCTGAATGTGCTGTTATAGTAGATTGAATAATCGGATTACTCCGAATCAAAACATTGTGCCATCTCCACGAACCTCTCATAATGTCTGAATTGTTCTGAGCACACAAATTAACGACAAAATTAGCTGTGAGATACATGCATTAGGTGGAACAAGATCATTTGTAAAGTATTTGATTGTTTGTAGAAATGTGAAAATCGGCAACCC